TATCTACCCTTGGGTGGGGGGGGGGCAGGGGCAGCAAGTATGAGTCTTGTTCAGTTTAGGATTGACTTCCTTTCAGATAAATATGGCAGCATTTATAAATACGGCAGCACACGTTAATGTCAGAGCGGAGTACCTTGGTGGCATGGATTTCATGTTACTTTCTGGCTCCTCAAACACATTGGGGCTGGCATCAGGAGTAACAGATATATAAGGTGCAGGCACTGAAGTTGAACGCAAATACCTCATCTCATCTTGAAAGAGGTTGTCGTCTTGATAGCCAACAAAGTTTTCATGATGATGCCTGACCCAAAAAATGCACATCAGTAAAACCAAACTCTTTTCAGCCCAGTAATTTCTGAACCCAAGACAAATATCAGTGAGTGTCCTTATTTATAAACAAACCATCCATTAAACGTATCTGACAATTGTTGAATTCCATGTCAATACCTCAAGCAGTAGTTTATCAGAACCATTACCCACACGAAATCTCTCTGTTTTTAAGGTCTGAGCATTTGTGGCAGTTTTCAGCACTGCAGAGTCGCCTGCTCAAAGTCTACAGTACTCGCACAAATGGTGTACCATTATGCTGTGAATGACAGGATCACCAGCAGGGAACCCAGACTATGCTCCTTCTTGGAAACCCACTGCATCTTGAGAGAGCAAGGAGTCAGGAGCAAATAGAGACATTTTAGATACGCTTAATATTTCCTTATCAGTCCAGCTCTGCAGCACTTCCGAGCTCCTGAAGGGCCTGGAAGCAAGACTGGATCCCCGGCTCAGGGCTTGGAGAGGAGCAACGGGGAAGACCACAGCTGCCGGTTAGACTGAGACGTTGACGGAAATGCGGGAAGGCCACCTTGGACTGGTATCAACAAAACTGAATGGCGGTGTCTGTGTAGCACCCAGAGTTGAGACCTGGCCAAGGGGCTGCCCTCCCATTACAATTCAGTGATTCTTATAAACACGGAAAACATGGCTCCACTGCTCTTACCTCGCTAACGTCTGAAGGTAGAGGCAAGGCATTTTAACAGGAAAGTCCTCGGAAATGCCTTCCTTAACACTGGGAAGCTGGGACTGGAATGGCTTGGCTGGGTGGTAGCACAAAATGGAGGGCTCCGCAGCACTGCTCAAGGCCAGCAAGAACAGGGCATTCCCTCTGATCACTTGATGAGCTTCCATGGTGGGCAAGGCCCGGGGGGTCTTCACCTGTGCCGGCTTCCTCCTCGACTGCTTCACCTACCAAGAAACTAGTGAGATGGGCTGACCGGAGGGCAGGGCCCAAGCGCCGCGCTCAGAGTTAACTCGCCTACAGGCCCTGCGTGCTGACGCCTTCCCTGTCTGCCCACAAGGGAACTTCTTCGGAGTTTTGTAACATGGGTCCCGGCAACCCAGGCACTTTCCCAAGGACTGGGCTCCCACGCCTGGGAGGAATCCCGAATTTAGGCCACAGTACTTAGAAGGCTGCCCAGCAAAACCCAGCCGGCTTGGGGGAAGCAGAGGAGAAATACCTTTTCTCTCGCTGCTGCCTGCTTTTCACGGAGGTACTTTTCTCGGCAGCGATCACAGACGAGATACCATGTGCTTCCTCCTATGCCGCCATCACCACAGTTCCCAGCCCATCCTCCGCAAAAGTGTCCAATGCTGTTGTAGCCCTGTCCATCTGCGTAACGGCCACAACCTTAAACAACAGAGCGTCACGTTAAAGAGAAAGATCTACCAAAGCCGCCACTGAATCAAACATTCACAGACAGAGTCAACCTTATCGGAAAAAGACCGAAAGGCTCGTTACAGCAACCCAGGTACACCAGTTTTTGATCCAGGATGGCCCTCTCCGGTGCTCAAGACCACCTCAGTGTGAGAAGGCTGGGTCGAAATGTTCACCAAGAACAATTCCTGGGATGGAGGGGCTCCCTCCGCAAAGGTGCAAAGAGCGCTCTGAACAGGGAGGGCCCTTCAGCTTGAGCTACAATCCGAGCCACAGACTCTGTGTCTCCTGCCTTCCCAATGAACCGTCTGTGCTGTGGGCAGAGGCATCTTATCACTTCCCATAATGTGGCTGCTTTCTAGGTGAGAGGAAAGTGCAGCTTCCAGAATGTTTGCCACCTACAGAAAAGATGGGCAGTTCTCTGAAAACTCTATTTTCTGGGGCTCTTGGCAGCTGGATACGACCCCAGTAAATTTTCTCTCTAGAGGCCCCTGGGCTAGGCTTTCCCACACTAGGTAACCTCCATATGGGTAGACTTGAGCCTCCTGAATTCCCCTCTAGCGTGGCTGCCATTGAGAATTCTGAGAGTTGATATATTCCTCCGAGCAGTCAAATGGGGGGGGGGGATTTTCTTTGGATAAGGGGAGATGCTTCAACCCCCCTAAACTTCCAGTACTATAATTGGGTGCATCCTGGACTCAGAATAAAGCAAAGTCATTAATCAATTGTTCCGTCTGGTGAATAAAAACTGAAAAATATTTTTTAGTTTCTGATCTAAGACAGGGAATTTAAGAAATTAAACCGACACAAACCGACTGATTTCTGTCTCAGCAACAGTTACAGATTTGTTGAATGCCGCCACTGAAGGGGCAAAGCAAGATCCATTGGCCGGGGGGGTGGGGGGTCGGGCTGTGCTCAAACGTGAAAAACCAGGAGTGTCTGATGCGCGGGACTCTCTTTCCTGAGGCGCATCAGAACAGGCCTGCGGGTACGGTGGCCGACCCTTAGCCTGGGCCCCATCCAAGAGGGAAGGGCCAGGGGCGGTTCAAGGCGAGGCAAGCCTTTATGCTGAACTACCGACATGCCCCCAGGCACCCCCTTCCCTGTTCTAGGTGTGACAGAACTAAACAAAATCCGGCCGCAGGATAGTCGTCACAAAACCCACCACGGTTTTCACCTGGAGCGCCTCCTACCTGGATGTGCTTGTCTCATGTGATAGGTCACCGGATACGGGTGGGACTCCCCACACAATTCACAGATGGTGTCTTTCTCCGGACGCTCCCCTGCAAGCTGAGCCATTTCCCCAAAGAGGTTTCCCCTTGGTCTGGCCTCCGCCTTCTCCTTCTTCTTCTTCTCCTTTTTGGACTTCTTGCTCTCTTTCTCGCTTTCTTTCTTCTTCAACACTGCGCAGGAGCCAGGGCTCGGGAAAATCATGTTCTGGGAAGCCGCCTTGATGGTCGCCAGAGAAATGTCTTCCCAAAAGGCTACCAGGTGCTGCAGCGTTAGCGGCAGAGGGGACTTGGCCTTCAGCGGGTGGTGGCCGGAGCTGTCGAAAGAGGCCGCTTCGTGCTTCCCGTCCTCACAGCGCTCGTGAAGAGGCGGCTCTTTCAGCATCGACAAGACTTTGTTCTTATTGATGCTGCCCATTTTGGATATGTCAGGCCCGTGGGGAGCTATGTTGAACATGTTTAGCGCGGAGGATATTTCCAGGGAGTGACGGTTCTTCAGCTTGGTTTCTTTTTCTTCGGCAGGTGCCTGGCCTAGATTGCTCCGGATCGGGGCGTGCTCTTTAGAAAGCTCAGGGTTAAACTTCAGAAATGAGGAGCAGGCCATGGCGTCGTGGACAATGCCTTCGTGCCATAGGAAGGATGCAAAGACGGTCCTGGCGCATTCGGCGACGGAGGGAGACATGGCTGGTTTGGCAGGCTCCGCTGACCGGGTTCCCTCGCCCTTGAACAGGCAGACCGATCTCTCCTTCTTGGGCCTGGCGTGCCTAGCGATACACTTCCGACCCACCTTGGGAGAAGCCCTCGTGTCCTGCTCCTCTCTCAGAGGTGCCTTCCCTATGCTGAAGTGAACTTTGTTCAAGCCTTCATCCAGGCTCCTACATTCAGAGTTGTCCTCACAGGTGCTGTTGGTAACGCTGCTTGTTTTCAAGGTGCTGGACGTGCAGACTTCAACAACTTCGCTGTGAAGGTTTTCTTGCACAACGTGAGGAGAAGGGGCTCTATTTTCTGTTTCAGACACAGGTTTCCCATCTTTTGGTGGAATTTTGGGTTTAGGTGAAGTGGATCTTCCTCTTATTGGCTCAGTTAGAGGCACCTTCTTTTTGCGAAGAGTATCCGGGTCCAGCGTGTAAGAATCCGATTTAGACCGCTCCCGAGGAGGATCGAGCTTCGTCTTCGTTGGAGCGGAGGGTTTCTGAGAAAGTGGCTTCTCATGAGGAGACGACGACCGCCGAGAACCAGCGCCAGACGTGCAGGATTTCCCCGATGACAGTGTCTTTGGAGAGGAGGCCCGAGTTCCCGGGCCCGGGGATTCTGCCCGAAGGGAAGGCACCGTCCTCCCCTCAGATCTTAACGTTTGAAGAGTGTTGTGATTTGGAGACAACGATCTGCTGTGGGAATCCGACCTCAGCTTGGCAGCATCCGATTTCAGCATCAGAGACTCACTGGCAGACGTGCTTTCTGTGTTCCTAGGCTTCTTCTGGCCTGGCACTGTGTGGCTCCAACGTCCATCAGATTTGGGAGGCCTGCTTTCCCCTCGGTATTTTGAGGCCCCGTCCGACTTCCCTGCCGGAGAAACTGATCTAGCAGCTGCGGTAAAATTCATCCTGTCACCTGTACAACAAATGTAATCAGGTTAAAAAGGAAAGATTCATAATACAAACCTTACCATATTGACCAGTCATATAAATTCATTTTTCAGGATTCTCACACCACCAGAAAACCAACAGAACCACTACAGAGAAGTTTCCAGGATTACAGGGAAGAGAGAAAAGTGTGACTTCAACAGTTATGTGGTCAGGCCCCAAAGATAAGTGAAACGCAATTGGGCAAATTTTGAGCTTCTGTCCCTCAAAGCTGCTTCTTGGAATCAGTAATTGTTCTAGAGTTACATGGGGACAGAAGAGATCATAGCAATAGGATTGTGAAATCAAGAGGGGAGAGGAAGTCCCTTTCTATTTGCAGAAGACCCATCTGGACCTGGGAAATCTCTGATGACCAGCTGTTAGCCTGCTCACCCTTAACAACACTAATTACCCACTCCAGGACAGGAAAGGGAACGAGAATCCAAACTAGCACTCTCCTGTCAAGCCAGGATGATCCCAGCTATGGCCACGAAGCTTGGGTGTGTGTGTGTGTGTGTTCTTACAGCTGGTGCACCACTTTGCATCCTGGAGGAGCCACAAAGCAAAGATGTCTGTCTGAAACCAGGCTTCAAGCCTCTAACAAGGGGTACTCTTGGCTCCCCTTGACTTTGCTGTTTCATAGAATCTGCCCAAGAGAATTGAGGATACTTGCAGAATGATTGAGAAGTGGGGTAAAGTTGCTCAGCTGGAAGCTCCATGGGATCTTTCAGCTTACAGAATACCTTGGGATCCAATGCATGATCAATTTTTCAGGAAGCAGATTAAAATATTCAATAATGTTCAACACATAGTTAAAAGATTTCTGTATGCATATTCTAACTAAATATAACAAATACAAGATGCTAAGAAGATAAAAAGAAAAACAGTTATTTCAAGAACTTAAGAAGCATTTTTTTTCTCATTTAGTAGTGACCGATAAACATATCATATCAAAGCAGGAATTGCTGACAAGATTTACAAGAAATATGCTATTTAGTACCAATATTAAGCTGTTCTTAACTTGTTAAAGATGACTTAGGCACGAGCCATTTGCTCTTCCATGTTCAAAATGATTTACAGAAAGTATACTGTAGAATTTAAAATTAAAACTATGTATAAACAAGTTGGGCAAGACAGTTGCAGTTATGTGCTTGCCCCCACTGTGTTCAGTAGCCGTACTTTCCGGTCAACAATCAAAACACACAGTAAAGCGAGATTGCCCTGTTTTGTTTAGAGGGAAGGCTAAGAGGGTACAACGAACCATACAGAATCTTAACATTTCCATTCAAGGTAGGTGGGATATAGCCAGCGTGGAAGGGTTTCTTCGCACCCTTCTGACTTGTACTGACGCGCTGCCTATTCTGTTTTGGCACTAAAATTGCAGAGGCACTTGTCGCTCCTTGTTGAAAATCCTCTCCTTTTCACCGGAAGCCACGGCCTGCAATTTCAGCCAAGCAACTTTGAGCCCAAGCAGAAGCATTTTTGAGCTGAATGGATGAGATGGACTGAGCAGGAAAGCCCCTTGCGTTCGAGAACAGAG